TGTATCTCAACCTATCTAAACGTAGAAAAGGTAGAGTAAAAATACGATACAACCATTTTACAGGACTGCCATCATATATGCAGTTCATCGTTGACCAAAATGTCATTATGAGATGCATGACTATATGTCATTTATTTGGGGGTCTCTTTTTATCATCATTTTCTTCTGGTTCTTACTCATGGTGCCTTCTTTCCTTACATGCTTTATCTTTGACTCTGTGCTAGTCAGTGTATTTGAAAATTATTTGAAGGATAATCTGTGGTTTCGAATCAGTATTCTTCCTCCAGAGAGGATTTTAATTTACTATGCTAGTTACCTGGGAATGTTACCAGTCCAGGACCTCCTTAACCCAGATTCCTTAATCTAAATTCAAGGCTGCAAGTCCATAGAGGAGATATTTACTCTCAGTTCATCTTTACCCTGTAGGTAAAGCACTTCAGGACCCCAACTTTGAGTGAGGTGTAGGGTATTTATGTAGGCTTCCTCTCTTAGAGCTGGGTGGGGAAGCTGTAAAAACCACAGCTCATTGTTGTCACTGTTACTCCTGGATGAATTTTTTTTAAAGGCAAGGGTGGGGTTGAGTACTGGGCTTACCTCTTTGAGTTCTCACTTCCTCAGAGATTATGGCCCATGATTCCTTATTACTTTGTTATGTCTTTGATGTTTTTAAGAAAATGTTTGTTATATTTCATCCAGTGTTTCAAATTATCCTCAGCAGAAGGGTTTATTCAAACTGCTTAGTTTTACATTACTGGAAGTGGATATCCCTTCTCTCATTTTCCTCACAATAACCATGGGATGAGTAAATATAAATATTCCCATTTACAGATGAGAAAATAATGGTTAAAAATTTTAACGCAATCAAGTGATCCCCAGGTTGAGTACCACGATTGTTCTGAGCCCAAAGCCCGTAGTGTTCCCATTATGCCATGCTTGGGAATGGAAGAGAAGAGTGTAAAAGCCATTTAAAGTACATGGGTGAGAGTTCAGAGGAGAATGGGAGGGCTGGGCCACGAGGGCCATGAGCACGTCCACGAAAGCAGAGTGTCCGCATCAACAGGAGTGTCCTCAGGGGAAACAGCAGGTGGGGCTGTGCAGACACTCCCCACTAGTGTAGAAGGTCTCTGTTGAAAAAGATATGCCCCCTTTGAGTGCCCCCGTTCTATGGGAGACAGATGTCCCCTGGAGCTACAACACAGAGGAGGCAGGTGAGGACCCAGCAGCTGGGAGCCAGTGTTGAAGGAGGGGTGCTCCTCAGAGCAGACGGTGCCTGGAGGGAGCCGTGAGATGTTGCTTGGTGAAAAGGCCCCTGGGGAAGGCCAGACAGGATTTAGGATTTGGCCTCAGGGGAACGATGGTGTTCCCTTGGCTCACCTCATGTTCTTTTCTCTCCTCTTCCTACCCTCCTGTCCCGCTCCTGCCACCAGGAAGTAACCCAGTGGCTGCTCCAGGATACCTTGGTCCCAGACCTCTGAGCCTCTGTTTTCATTCTGTCCTTCTGTAATTACTTGTCCCCCACATGCAGGTGGCTGCCCTCCTCTGCAGCTACGGGGAATCTTCACCCCGTTCACACAGGAGGCTCACTGAATTCTCCTTAGGTGCTCCCCCAGCCACGTGGGCCCCGGCAGACTCCAGCTCTCCACGTCCCCCCACTCCTCACTGGACTCTTGTTCTCAAGGACTTTGGTTTTCCCCTAGAGTTTAAGGTATCTGCTTGGCCACGCTCTTTAAAAGAGGTTGACTTACATTCCCCTAGGAATTTTCTTTTGGACTTGATAACATTTCTGAGATGAATTTTCATCCTGTCCACACAGGAGGCTCATTGAAACGCACAGGGTTTGTGTCAGTCTGACTGTGAGGGGCTCAGGAAGTAACCTCCCAACGGGGAGACAGAGAGGGCAGACTGGGAAGCGCAGCCAGACTGAGGCAAGGGCGAGGGGACAAGGCTGGCCCTAGGTGCCCGCCCAGGTTGTGGCATCCAGGTTGTGGCGGGGGATCTCTGGCCGGCCTGGAAGAGTTCCTCCCCACAGTGTCCCCATGTACCCTGTCCGGTGGACTGGGCTGAGATGTATCTGTTCTCGTCTTAAGGATTTTCTTACTTTTTTTTTTCCCTGTTGCGGTTGATATTCCATTGAGATTAATAGTCTGTGGAGTCATTTTAAAGAGGCCCTGTGACAAAGAGGAAGGAAATAAATAAACCCTGCCTGTTAGCTTAGGCCGCCCTTTCCTCCATGCCACCTGGCTCTGCTTTGTGGCCGAGAAGTCCCCTGCTCTTTATTTGATCCACCCGCACCCTGCAGCTGGGAGGATCTCCCTGTGCCTCACCCATGCTGTCAGCCACGCACACAGGCCCTCAGGGGAGTGTGGGACAGGGAGGCGGGGAAGGCGGTGGCACCTCCTGTGCTGTCCGTCCTGCGCGCAGCATCCGCCCTCACTGAAGGGCAGCAGTCAAGGGCCTAGGCGCTGGAGGCAGACCGCCCAGGCGCCAACTTCAGCTGTACTGTTAATTACTCTAAGATCTGGCAATTATTATTTAACCTCTCCGAGGCTTAGTCTCCTAATATGCAAAATGGGGATAATTATAGAACCTATCTCCCTATCTGGGGTTGTTTGGAGAATTAAATAAACTAACAGTCACAAAATACTTGGACCAGTGCCTGGCACATAGTAAGCTTTCATCCATTATGACTTCTCATAGTCTCCCCAGCAGTGGAGCAGGGCACCTTCACTCCAGCCTCTTCCCTGGGGGTCAGCTAGATTTCCCGCAGAGGCTACAGGCAGGGCTGCTGAGGAAGCCTTGCAGAGCCCTGCAAGTGATCCCCAGCATGTTCCCTTCCCCGCACACTGCAGCTAGGTCAGGCCCAGAACACAGAAGGTTAATTGAAGGGCAGAGAGCAGAAATGTTGTAAAAGGAGAGTTCAGAGCAAACATAAAATGAGTACAGTCGCATCAGGTTGTGGGGGAGGCTGGCAGATGGGTCCCTGCTAGCCCTGTAGCAACCCCCAAGCCCACCTGCCTCATTCCTGCCTGCATTAGAACCGAAATTAAACTAAATATTGACCAACAAGGAGAGCATGCTGCCAGGGCTAAAGAAAGGCTCTGATTGCCAAGGAAACAGGAAAGGCCCTGGCCATAGCATTACCCTGTCCCCTTGGCGGAAGCCAGGGAGGAGCTGGGCAGCAGCAGGGGTTGGGGGGTGGAAAAGGAGTCAATGCCAAGGATGTGAGGCATACGAAAGAAGGCTCGGTCCAAGGGGAAGGGTTGGGCAGCTCGGTCTAGTGGTCACTGACGCCTGCCCTACTATAAGCTCTGTTATAAAGAGGATGTAAAGTAGCGTAAGACACAGCCCTGCCCTCAGGACGCAAGAATCTAGTTGGCAAGATGAGCCCCATGTAAAGAAAAGTTAAAGAAAACGTGAGTATTTTGCAGGACCGTTTGTCACATGCGCAAAATGAGTAGTGGCCTCAGAAGGGAGTTGGAGTCCATAGTTCTTCCTTTAAGTAAGTTCTTTTTCTAACTTTTTAATTACGGAAAAGGTCAAGTGTATACAAAACCAGAGAGGGTGGTAAACGAAAGCCCACGCACCCACCCACCTGGCTTCAGCACACTGCACACCCTGTTTCTCCTCACTTGCCTTTTATTTTTTCCTGGAGCATTTTAAAGAGAAGTCCACATGCGTGTCCTTTCACCCATAAATACTTCAGTATGCATGCAGCAGATGATTTTTCAGGTTTTTCCAGCTCCGACCTGGTGAGAGTGTGTATGTGTGATGGTCAATGTCAGAGGGTTTCTCTGAAGGGGTGAGGAGAAAGTGATGTGTCCATCTGGGGGCTTGGTGTCTGTGAGGAATTTTACAAAAACACGCACACACAACCAGCAGCCCTAAGGACCACCTCTGATCACCCAAAACTGATCCTAGCAGATCTCAGCACAGACAAGGCTGGCTGGAGCAGCTAAGACATGCGGATCTGAGAGAGGCAGAGACTGAAAGAGAATCAGAGAAGCATCCATGTACTTATCAAACATGTAATGGAACCCTACTGCATGGCAGGTGCTGTGCTAGGCTGTGGAGAAGCAGAGGTGTCCCAGGCAAATGAGGCCTCCACTGTCACCAGTTTACATGGGGTGGGGGCGGGTAAGGCTAGGGTGTTAGGGTGTCACACCAGAGGGCATCTCACCTGGAACTAGAGGGCAGGAAACAGAGAAAAAAGGCAAAGGCTCAAAGAACCAGAGACTTAAAGATAGAGGCGGAAGGGGCCCTGGCTCCTGTCCTTTCCGGGCCCCTGCTGAGGACTGCAAGAGACGCCTCCTCAACCCACACAGCCTCGGGGGGTCAGGTGAGCCAGTGTACAGCACGCAGCTCCATTTCTGCCTTCCAGAGCAGAAGAAATACTTCAGGAGAATGTTCGATGCTCAGTCAAATTTACTGAGCTGGATCAAACCAAACCCAGACGCACGGAGCCCAGAGCTGGAAGCTTGCAAGATGTGAACGGACTCTTCTGGGTTTTCCACAGCTCAGCTGAAACATTCAACTGGCCCTAGGCCCTGAGCAGGATTTTAAGTACCCAACATGAGGTTAGAGGCCATAGTTAAGTTGGGGACCCATTTGGTCCTGCTACAGGCTCGATGTGACATACCTACTATGTGCCTAGTACTGCGCCGGGCCTGCTCTCATGGAGCTTACCATCTGCTGGGTAGAGAGACATGAAACAAGCATCCTGTCAGTGCTGCACTGTGGGGTCTGTGAGTGCATATTAACCATTCCCTGTAGGGAGACGTTATTCCCAATTTTAGAGCTGAAGGATCTAAAGCTTAGAGATCTAAATCACTGCCCCGAAGTCACACAACTAGAGAGAGGAAGACGCAGACTTGCAGGCCAGGGACTTCTGACTCCAAGACCTATGTTCTTTGCATGACATTGTCTTGGACCCTGCTTAGGGCCTGTCAGAGGGAGCAGGTAAGTGTGAAACAGCCACTGGCAGTGCAGTGCAGCCAAACGAGATGAGGAGCAGGCGGTGCTTTCAGAGCTTGGAGGAAGGCTGTGGTGTTGACAGAGGGATAGATGTACTCTGGAAGTTCCCAACAGCAGAAACGGTGGCTGAGCATCAGGATGAGTGCAGAAGTGGTGGTGTTGTAGGGTGGGGGGGAGTACGAGAAGATAGCTTAGACGACGGTGAGGCAGGCCCAGCACACGGGCCCAGGTTGTTGCATGAACGGAAGAACTAAGGAGCAACGATGGTCTCGGGCGACGCTGCACAGGATCCTGAATGCTTTTCGCGAGCGTTTGAATCTGATTCTAATAACAACCCTGTGAGGCAGTTTATTGTTATTCCATTGTTCAGATGAGTCAACTGAGGCCCAGGAAGTTGTGCCTGCTTGAGGTCTCTCAGCTGGGTAGTGGGAGAGCAAGGACTTCTGCACAGGTTTCCCTGGCTCCAAAGCCTGTGTCTGGTTCACCAGTAGGCTGAAAGGCCACCGTGGAGAGGACTCCTGTGCCACGTGGGTGTGTGTCCTGCCACCTTGTACAACCCTTCAAGACCTATAAGAGTCTGAAACTTAATGGAAGAGGGATAACTTCTGGTTCTCAGAGGATGAGGATGCGTGAAAAAGGGAAGAGAGGATGCCCAAGATGGAGGGCAGCACAGCGTGGGGAGTTGCAGATCAGATTCACAAAGGGCAATTGGAGCAACCTGGATTTACCCTATGAGCAGAGTGCTCTGAAGGGTGGGGACACCTGGTGGCCATATATTGGGTCAATTGGCCAAACCGCTAAGCACTCAATCTGGCCTAACCTGGAGCTAAGACTCCTCTGGTCACTACCGCTACCGTTTTGCCTCTTGCCCGCTTCTACCTCCCACCTGTCACTACCTCAACCACTGTCCCAGCTGGAGCCACAGAAGGCAGAATCAGGGGTGTGCGAGGAGAGGCAGGACTGAACCTCAGGGAAGACTCTGGCCAAAAGAGTTTGTCTGGTTGACCAGCCCAGCTTCTGTGTCCTAGCTCCCTGTCACCTCTGTGGACTTCCACTTTGATGCTTCACCACCTCTGGGAGTGCTATTTTTGGGAGATATGTCAGGGCATAAAGGTATCTGACTCTGGCCAATCCTGCCTCTGCTGCGTAGACTGCCTGGAGCCCTTCCCACCTTCCCACCTTCTCCCAGCATCCAGCCCTCCCTTCTGCCGTACATGCGCACTTTGGCTCTAACCAAGGCTAGTTATGGCAGTTGCTCTACTGTGCAGTTGAAGTGGCTCATCCCTTTCTGAGGAATGTGTGCTAGCCTAGGGTGGCAGAAGGCTGAGAAGCAGCCCTGGGGAGAAGGCTATTGTGTCAACATACGGAGAAAGAGAAACAGATGGTACAGGCCTGAGGGACAAGGGCTCCGCCACTTGACCAGACACATGTGCGCTGCTCCTCATGTCTCTTTCTTGTGAACCCCTACTCCCAAGAGCCTGGAGAGATAAATGGGAAGTTTTCTGGGATCTGAGATTGGGAAGAATGGACTGAGCAAGGCCCAGTTTCCATAAAAGCATGCCTCTCATAATTGGGCTTGGGCTTTCGACCTGCCAGCATGGCTCCCAGCCCCACTCAGGGATGCCTCAGGTCAGGGCATGTGCTCTCTCCAGAGCTGAGGGGCTGGCTCATTACTAGGCAGGGGCAAGTGGCTTCACAGCCTCTTGAACCTCAGCCCTTCTACTTTTCCCCTTCAAAGTACAAATGTCCTTGTAGACCACACTCTGAGCCAGTGCATCCATAGGACAGGGAACAACTGACTGGACATTTAGGAAGCATCACCACAAATAACCAAATCCCAATTTTCATTTTAGTATCTTCCCATTGACAGGAGACCAGTAGTAAAATTGATGACATCTTCTTTCCTGGTTTTTATCTCACAGGTGGCTGGCTAGCATCTGCTCTTCCATCTCTGTCTCGTTTTGACACTGGTTTGCTGTCTGCTGACACTCTCTGTATTCATCCATGTCCGTGTGTTTTTCCTAGGAGCTGTGCAGGCTAAAGGGATTATGTCTCTATAAGAACTAGACTTCATTGTGCTCTGTGATGGGCTACACTGATCACCTCTTTTGGTGACAGGGCTGGTGCAGGCAACTCTCTGGTCTTTATTGCCCTCCTTCTTGTCATAATAGGAATAGACTCAGGTACAAGAACTTCTTGGGCCAAGTGACAACAGGAGGGTTCCCAAGAATTAGGTTGGGAAGAGGACATCCACTCTGGAAGATGCCCAATAAGAATAACCAGTTGGTTTAAGGCATTATACTCAGTAATAATTTTAACATTTAACTCTTTCACTTCTAGAAACTCCATTTGTTTCTTTTTCATATCTGCCTGGTGATTCCTGATAGCGTTCTATTGCTTACTCATCTTTGTGATTTTATGCTTAATTTTTAGAAAATATTTCATACATAACTGTTCTGTATCTATCAAATCCAGTACCTGAAGTTCTTGGGGAGGGTCTAAATCTATTTTTTGTTTGTTTGGTTGACTCACTCTTGGTTTCTTGCTTTTTTATGATTTATTTTACTTGATCTTAATCTGTGGGAATCCTGAAGCCCTAGGTTAAGAATGTTTACCTCTGGACAGGATTTAAATATGGTTTGTTCATACGTCAGGTAGTATTACCATCTTGGGATGACTTCAGCCCATTTTGAGACCCAACTTAAATTTCTCTGTTTGCTTTTAGCCCAAGGTTCCATCCCCCAGTGACAAATCAGGGATCACCTGGTTTTACTGTTGGTGTAGCTCTCAAAGCAAGTGTTCCTCCCTCTGCTTACTCCTGACTCCTCCCAACTGTAATGTGGCCTTAGATTTGTTCCTTTTTATTGGAGGTAAGATAGATTCCCCTACTTCAAGTGAATCATACAATGCATCAAAAAGAATACTTTATTCAGGATAAAAGTGTTTTGCAGCAGAAAGGCCCTCTGATCATCCAGTATGCCGAGTCGGCAGTTCCAAGGATAATCTCTTCATAATTCATTTACTCATTCAACAAATGTCTTGAGTGCCCACCCTGTGCCAGGCATGGTTCTAGGTACTAAGGATACGGCCTCTCCTCTCCTGGAGCTTGCAGTTTGATTCAAGAAGTCCATCCCAGGAGCCAATCCAGTCCATGGAACACACACCAGGGGGATTGCTTTCCCTCTCATTCACTCATGAACGATTGAGTCCCTACTCGGCATCGTGCAGCATGTCAGGCACCTGGGATCCAGAGATAGAAAGGCCTGTCCTCAGATTGCTCTTATTTTAATAAGGGAAATAGATATTTTGGGGAGGTATGTCAGGGCATAAAGGAGTAAGTGCTCCAACCAAGGTGGAAAGACAGGAATAGGTAATGCTCTGCCTGGGGAAGTCAGGAAGATCTCAGGGAGGTGACATTTGAACAGCATCTGGAAAGATGAGTCTGAGTTACCTAGCAAAGAGAGAGAGAGAGAAGGCCATTCTCAGCTGAGAGAAGGGCCTGGGTAGAAGCTTGAAGTCATGGAGGAGCCCAATGCATATGGGAACACAGATGCGTACAGTGTGGCAGGAGCATGTGACAATAGAAGGAAGGGAAAGGTGGGAGTTTGGCTAGAGATGGAAGGGGCTGCCCCACTTCCCAAGCCTGAGCCTCACCCCAAGATTCTCCCCTCCACCCTCACAGTGACTCAATTACCAAGCCCAACAGAAAAGGACAGATAGGTATAATAAGTACCTATCTGTCCTCTCTTTCCCATCCCCACTGTGTCATTGCCTTGCCTCAGGCCTTTCCTGCCTGGACTGATGCAGTAACCTGCTAACTGGTTTCCCTGCCTCTACTTTCATCCCCATCCAATCCATCCACCACACTGCTTTCAAGGTGATCTTTCAAAGATGAATATTTGTTCATATCATTTAAAATCCTTCACTGGAAACCTGCTGATTTCAGGAAGAAGTTCAAATTCCTGGATTAACCCAGAAGGATCTTCATGTGACTACCCCTCCAGCCTCATCTCCCACCTACCCTTTACTCCAGCCAGTAATTTCTCATAGTTCTTCCTTCACAGCTCAGAAGTCAGCCTGTGCTGCTGCCTCCAAGGGATCCTCTGACCACCCTCCAGTTTGATTTAGAGGCCCCTCTTTTGTGCTCACACAGGATCCTGCATACATCCTTCTTGAAGTGTTGTGACATTGGACCATCATCAGGATTTGTCTGTCTTCCCTATAAACATCATCAGCTCCTTGAGGACAGAGGACATACCTGTCTATTTAGCTTTGTATTCCCAGTCCTAACAAACACCCAGCAGATGTTTGATACATTCATCAATCCAGGAGGATGGGGGGAAAAGTATTGGCCAGTACAAGGGGTGTACTAGGTGGAGTAAACAGTGCGCAGGGAATCCCTCTGGATGAGCAGGCAGGGTCTCCCACCCGATGTCTGATTTCGTTTCCTCATGTACGCATGACTGGTCTGACGCTGGCTGCTATGACCCCTTTCCGCTGACATGCTATGAGTCTACAGATCTGTGACCTATGGAGAGAGGATGATTGAAAGCAGTGGTCCCCAGATCCCAACATCAGTGATGCCTAGGAACTTAGAATGCAGACTCTCACATCTCACTCCAGAGCTACAGGATCAGAAATCTGAGATTGGGACTCAGCAATCTATGTTTTATCAAGCCTTCCAGGCAATTCTGATGCACACTAAAGTTTGAGAACCAATGGTTTAGAGGAACGGCTTTGTCACCCAGCACAACCATTGAGGTGGCAAGACGAGATTATTGCCATAGGCCAACAGTGGTAAAGTGATCTTGGCCAGGAGCCTGCCGCTGTGACTGGCTATGACTCTACAAGCCAGATCTAACTACAGCAATGACCTGGAAGGGTCACCCACCCCTTTTCCCAGGACTCTCTGCTGGCAGAGCTCAGGAAACATCTCCCAGAGAACCTCCCAGCAGGGTTTCTGGGTTCATGCCACTTTGAGAGTTTCTCCATTGTCTCAAGGCTGTCCTTTCTCTTTTTTTTTTTTTTTTATTTAACTTTAAGTTCAGGGGTACAAGTGCAGGTTTGTTATGTAGGTAAACTTGTGTCACCCAGGTATTAAGCCTAGTACTCATTAGTTATTTTTCCTGATCCTCTCCCTCCTCCACCCTCCAATAGGTCCCAGTGTTTGCTGTTCCCCTCTATGTGTCCATGTGTTCTCA